GGGGGTCAGCCCATGTGCGTGTCTTCTTTTTCTTCTTTACCTCTTAACCTTCAAATCAGGAGTGGCTCTGAGAAGGTGAAGGTTTGCCACTACCGAGACGAAAGTTGTGCTCCAGGTCTCCGTCCAAGAGATGATCTTCGGTAGAGGGCAATGGGAGATGCATGTTGGTCAACCATGGATCGCAAGAGCGTACAGAGTTTAGGGTGACTGTCAACCACGCTTGGAGAATAGATAATATGTATACTTAAAAAGAGTGTAATATAAGTCTGGTTGACGGTTAGCCTGGATCGACAGACGAGAAACGTAATGGGAATCATGACATCAAATCCGAGCAAAACGAGCCAGAGACAACAACCAGCGATCGCCGGGACTCAAAAAGAGTGGTCAATGGAGGAGCAAGGTGGATGTATAACGCTGCTCTTAACATGACGCCAACCTCTGCTAAAATAAGCGTCCTTGTAGCTAATCGGCCGGCCTACGCTGGTTATCTGGGGAGAGCTAGCCAGCCAGCCAGCCTATCGCCAGGGCTGTTCGGACATGACATGGCAGAAGACGGCCTGCTCGAGCGTTGTTTGAATCGAGTCCGAGCTATAGTGGCAGCGTACTATTAGCAGGGCGGCTTTTATGCTTTGCGACGATATGTGCTCCGTAATATATGTATCCTGGCCTGGCTTTCGCAAAAAAAAAAAAGAAGAAGAAGAAGAGGCCGGCCTGCTCAAGCCATGTTTTCTTGTCTCTGCCTGTCGTTTCATGGATGCTGACCTGGCCACGGAGGAGCAAGCAAGGGCAGTCCCCAGACACCCGCCGTTTATTCTCCGCAGCAAAGGGACGCTAACAGGAGACGGGCTCTGCTCGATCTCCATCTCAGACCTCGCCGTCGACATGGCATCATCTAGTACTCTGTAGTAGTACGGAGTATACACAGATGGTTCGTAGATAACCCTCTTCGGCAAGCCAACCCGGTCTCCATAGATAACTATAGCTCACTATATGGTTGCTCAAGCCGGCAGCCAGACGTGCGATCCAGCGTGCCATAACCAGCTGCTGGCGCGCCCCAGGACTCCGCAGAGCAGCTCCGTAGATAACAACAGTCACCGGCGAGGTCGAGCAGGACGTTGAACGGTCACAGGCAGCAGGCAGGCAGGCATCCCGCGCCGTGACGGTGGCGTGCAGCTAGAGTCTACCTAGAGTTGACAGGCAGTGTGAAAAAAAGAGAAGAAGCAGAAGCAGAAGCAGAAGGCCGGTCGAATGCCAGTCGAAGGCGTTTAGGCACGGCACAAGACATACATACAGCATGCTGCAGCAGTCGTCCTCGTCGCTGTCGATGGTGATTGATGGCTGCGTTTGCGCGACGCCATCGGGCGAGAAGCTATAGCGGTGGTTGGTCTATATGGCGATCGAGAAGGGACAGCGCTGGGCTCGGCAGGCCATATCACAGTCACATCCACGCCCACCACTCGCGCGGCTTTCACATTCTCGCATCTTCACATTCACCCTGCCGGCCGTGTAAGCAGTCGAGAGAGGACAGCCGAGTTCCACCTCCCGCCGCGGTCCAGACAAGAGACAGAAAAAGGCGCGCAGAGAGAGCGAGAGAGAGGAGATACGTGAGCCCAGAGCCCAGCGCCAGAGCCCGAGCCAGCAGCGATGCCCGCGATGGCCCCCCCTGAGCAAAAAGAAGACGAGACGGCAGACAATCCCGGCGTGTTGGATGCTCGCGCCCCCAGAACGCGCCAATGACGCTGCCTGGCAGTCGGACGCTTTGCTGCTACTGGCATAGGACGATGGAGACCGCTGTTGCGCCGTTGTTTCTGGTTCGAAGTCTATCGGGACAGGGACCCCCCTTTTCCACGTCCGCCAGAGGATGGTGAGAGCGCACAAACAAGCCGGCGGAGCTGGAGGAGACAAGCGACTGGCGAAGAGACCGCATCTGAGATGGCTAGTATCTCGCTGCCTCGATCTCTGGTTGCTGGCGTAAGGCGGGGAGGAGAGCCACGACGAGCTGCCCCCTTTGGCCCGGCGTCGAACCATCTGCAGTAGCGCTGCGTCTTTCGTGCATTCGCTGCATCTCGCTATCCTGCCTGCCTGCCTGCCTGCCTGCCTGCATCGCACAAATGGGAGAGAAGAAGCGGAAGGTCGAGGCCTGCCTGATTGGCGGATTTATTCAACTTATACGACGCCTCCTTTTGACTTCTCTGCCGTTGGAGTGGTTGACTTCCACTCGATGAAACAAACGGCTGGCACATACTTACACTTCCACATACGGAGTAAGTAAGAGTATATACAGATACGCACAGTGAAGTCAGCGAGGGGAAAAAAGAAAGGAAAGAAAGAAACAATAATAACGACTGGCAAGGGGAGAAAAAAAAAAAAGACAAAAAATAAAACGAAGACGGCGTTTCAGATGTCTTTTTCTCTCAGATACTCCGTACGGATAGGAGAAAGGAGGAAGAGGCAAGCAGGCAAATTTGCCTCAGCTGCAAGGGGACGGCCAGATGAGAACACGACTGAGATCGTACGGACAAGAACGATCAGCACATGCTGAGCTCCCTCTCTCTACATCAAGGCAGCCAGACGGTGGGAATATACAGATACACGACCCTTGACAGGGCGTTTTTTTCTTACCACTCGCGGGAAAACTGCAGCAGCACCACCACCACCATCAGCAGAAGAAAAGAATGATATTAAAATAACAACAAGATAATTAACACCAAGATCATCGACCATCACAAAACATGGACCTTGGAACGGCTGCTGCTAGTGTGTATAAAAACTCGGGACAGGATATTATATTCACCATAACACCATAACGGAGGATTAACCGGGTACCGTCCACGGCCAATGAGAAATATTTTTCTCTGTTCTCTCCGGCCGCTCGACCCCTTGCCGTGGTACCTGGGAGAGTTACTCTTATGCTCCGTACGCAAAAAAGCAAAACGGGAAAGGAAAAAAGAGGGTATATAAAAAAAGAAAAGAAGCGCTGAGCTTGTTACTCTGTCCAAAAGGCAAAAAAGCAAAGAAGCAAAGAGGAAGAAGAAAAAGCAACGCTCAACTTTACAGTGGGAAGAAGAGGCCCTCCCATGGTTCCCGTTCCTGCAGGTGGGATCTGCTCTGTCCTGATAACTCCGCCCCAAAAAGCCAGTGGACAGTACTAAACACGACTAGAACGGGGAGAGGACGAGAGAGGGCTCCATTCTGCATATACGCCTTGAGCTTCTGTCTGTCAGGTCCTCCCTAATCTCTGGGTCTTGCTGCTCGGGGCTTTTCTACTTATTCATGGGCGTTTCCCGCCGCAACCGGGGGTAGGAAGAAGTACGTTTTTTTTGAGTCTCTCTCTCTCTCTTTTCTTTAACTACTATCTCTCCTCTCCCTTCTTTTACCTGGACCACCTCGGCTTCTCTTTTTCTTTTCTTCTTCTTCTGCTTCTGCTTCTGTCTATACTTCTAACTTCTAACCTGTCCTGCTCTGTTCCCGGTCCGGCCTGCTTTTTGATATTCATACATATCTTGCTCGTGGCCCAGCGTCAGGGATATTCTGTTCCATCCCGCCAGCCTGATATCAAGGAGCCACCGCCTATATACCGAACCGTCTATTCAATTCTTCGTCGTCTTATCTTATTCTTTTTTTATTTATTTTTTTTTCCGGTCCTTTTCCCAACGATAACTTCCCTGTCGAGGGTTGGCTTGTCGGTCTCTTTTTAACTTCTCACAGAGAGCCTACTTTTGGGTCGCTTGCTCATACACTGGTTGTTTGCGTCCCTCCAGAGCTCATATATTACATCTCACACTCCTCGCTCTCAAAAATTATATATATATACATATACATATATACATACACGCCCTATATATATACACAGCACTTCCGACCTGAGACGCTGGCTTCTTTTCGTCCCAGGCTACCGCTGCTAGAATTTGAGTGTGTCCGTGCCTTCTTGACCACGGCCTCAGGAACCGACTTGACGTCCTCGATTGCGTTTCAATTCGACTGCTGCTCGGCCATTGCTCTTCGTTGGCTCCTTTCCATGGTGGCTCGCTAGCCTGGCTCCCCTGAGGCATAATCCCGGCCCTGCCCAGGCAAGGCGAGCAAGCATTATACCACACAAGGAATTCCACCCCCAACAGGGTCAATCCCTCCAACACCATCGTTTTTATTTTCAATTGCTGCTATTATTTTCATTTTTCCCATACTCGACTTGACCGACCCCTGGTCCCTCGCGTGGGCGTATGTGGAGAGAAGCGACAGGAGGATAGGACGCAAGCCCACCCTTTTTTGGCCCTTCTCCCTCCCCCGTCTCCGATATATCGTCGTCCACTCGCCCTCCCTGGGAGTCTAACCTAATAAGAATATCCCCATTGCCTTTTTCTCTTCGTCTGTGTGGACCGAGGAAAGTCACCATGTCTTTTTTGGAACAGTATACATCCTCGCCCTCTCCCTCCATTCTCTCCCCATCCCAGCCCTCGTCTCGCCCCTCGACTTCCCAATGGTATCATGATCAGATCTTGCGGGAGCTACCATTTATATCAGGAGCCTCACGAAGTCGATCGGGCAGCCCTTCAAGGTCTCGAAACAACACTGGCACCCAGACTCCCAAGCGTCTGTCTGTACTTGGCCAGCGCTCTCGAAGCGACACTGCCAATTCCTCTAATTTATCCCCTGCCTCGTCTATGACATCGTCGAAACGATCCTCTCACGACGGCAGCAAGGGGGTATTCGATTTCGTCCTGCCGCTAGAAAAGGAAGAGAGCTCCAGCAAATCGTTCTTCTCCCGCGGTAATCGCATTCTCAGACGCCAGGGAAGCAAGTTTAGCCTCTTGGACACTCTCACTTTGGACGAGGAGGAAGAAATGTCTAGTGATCAGGTCTGGTACGGTGAGAAGGTGAAGCCAAGACGCGAGAAACCCGCTGTTCTTCGTCGTATCAATCGACAGAGGAATCCTACCAGCCGTATGTTCACACACCCTTCGTGAAAAAAAAAAGAACACAGAAAAGCCTCTTCTCACCTTCTGCTTTTGTCTCTTCTGTTGTTAACATATATCATCTTACAGATTCAAAGCTCAAAAGCAGCATCTCGGAGCCCTTCCACTTCCAACACATCACTCACACTAGCCGTGGCCAGTTACCACCAATTGCTCACACTCATCCTCATGATCTCGCTACTGAATTCTCAATCATCCGCGCCTCTCAACGACCAAACTCTGAGCTTAAGGGAATACATGCTCAGAACCTCTCATGTCGGCCATACACAGCCGAGGAGGAGTCAGACTGGACTCTTGACACCCTCGCCCCCGATGCTCCATCTCTCTTTACTCGCAGTCCTCCGGGATCGCCGAGAGCCACGAGGACGACAGTCACCTCACCAGAACTCCGACAGCTGAGAGCACCTCGCTCAGTCGAAAATTTCTCTCGACCGGTTTCCAGAATTGTACGACAGCCATTCTCACCTCCCATGATACCACCGCCTCGGAGATCGTCAAGGATGGCAATGAGTCCCAAATCTGGCGGTCAAAGAACCGACCCGTCGGAGGAGCTTATGGGGCTGAATGGGTTGTCCTTATCTCCAGTGGAGGATGGGCCGATTAACGCTGTCGTTGGGTATGCTGTGTCGCCGCCGGAGCAAGGCCCTGTCGCAGAACCGATCGAAGAGATAGGACGTGCATTTAGCCCTGACGAAAATAACGCTCCCTCCACTAACATCTCTCCGCTCGTCCAGCCCAGTGGAGTCAACGAACGTGATGAACCACAGAGCAACCATGTCATAGCTTTCGACCCAGCTCCATATAACGCGCATATGGAACCTGAGCTTGTCGAGATACCCTCTGAGCTCAAGAAACCAGCTCTACACCTGAGCCCACTCAAAGAAACCCGATTTGAATACGAAGATTTGCATTCTCCCATCCTTCCATCCGAGCAACCACGCAAGCTATTACCACCTGTCGAGCCAAAGAGTCCCGCTGGAACTGTTGGGATGCATGTCTCTAACGATTCCTGGGAAGCCGATATCGACTACTGCTATGAGCATGCCGCCGAATCCAACTCGAATTTCGACTGGAACCGTGAATCGGCTGAGGAGAGTCGAGACCGGGAATGCTCGCATCTCGGAAAGAGCGAAACCTCGGGTTGTTTCAAGTCCAACACCAGTTCGTTTTATCTCCACCCCTTGGACACAACCACTTCCGGCCAGACCACGCCAGAGCTGCAGCCATCGTCCGGAATCTCGGCTTCAACGAGAGCTGAAAGTGATGCTGCTAGCCCAGCTATTTTTAATCACTCCTTCGGAACGTTTCCGTCCGCCGCTGAGTCGATGGACAAGAAGCCCAAGACGACCGAAATCCAAGTGTTGGAGACTCATTTCGAGGACGTGTCACATGACTCTGTTTACACTCACGTGATATCTGACATCAACGAAGACGACGAGTATCACATCGACGAGCCAGCGTACACTCGCACCGGCTCCTCTCCTCTTAGCAAGTGCAACTCTCAAGAGAGCATGATGTTGTCTCGCGCTGCCTCCATCGTCCGGAAACACCGCTCTTCCACCTCGACCAACAGCGTTCCAGACCTCATCCACAGCCCCAACTGCAGCCGCGAGATGGTCGATCGTGAGGCCCCAACTAGCCCACTGGCTGAGAGACCAGCACTGCCTACCTATTCTCGACCTCTTCCAATTGGCCGCGAAGGAATGCCCCGGATGCCATTTGCTTCCTTCTCGGGCATCGAATCTACCTCCAACCCTTCCGTCTCGATGCATGACCGCTCCAAGTCCGCATCTGTACTCGACTCTGCCGACTGTTCTCTCTCCAGAACTAGCCAGGTGAACCGGAAACGCGCTTCAACTTTGAGCCGTGGGGTTCGCAAGAACCGACCGTCATACTCACTATTCCCTGTTACCGGGCCAGCTACCTCCCCCAAGGTTAGCTGAGCACCTCGTACATAAAATGTACATCCTTTTCTATACCCCATTCAACCCCCACCTCTCGTTATCGACGTCCGTTTCTTATCTCTTTCCTTGATCTATTCGACGACCTTTATGATCATGCATTTAAGTGCTGGTAACACATCTCCTCTGCCAATTTCCTTATATTCAAACCATTTTTTCACCCATAACGATCAAGTCTTGCAGGCACATGATTTACATTCTAATTATCCCCTTCCGGCCCAATGGGCTGGTGCTTTACATGATTCCGTTTACCTGTTACACCACCATTCTTTTACCTGTTGAGCATGCGAGCAAAATATTTTATTTGTACCAAATTTTCCTTTTAGTCGAGCATCTTGCAGCACTCCAACTTTTGTCTTCTGCTACCGCTTTCTTTGCTTTCGTTACTGGGGGGATCTATAATAGACTACGGACGGTGTGCAAAAAATTTGCCTTTCATCTCCTGTTTTGGTTTGTCTCAGCCCATCGTTTGTTAATTCTTTTCATTGTTATATGATTTTGGGGAATGGGGTTATTATTCGGCTGGCATCTAAGGGTGTGAGCATTCGCATGGCCGTCGGTGTGAACGGTGTGGTGGAATTATTGCGAGCTATTATTTGGAGTCCGTCTCTCTTTCGCTAATTGATTAATTTATTCATATTATGTACTCTTTGCTTCTGTATTTCTTCGGCCGGCTAATGCCTACCTCCAACTACCTCCATATCATACAAACTAGGATGTAGAAAAACACAGGAGGTTGGACAAACAACACAAACTCTACCAAAGTCATTATTTTATTTTTGTGCACAACTTTAAAGCTTAAAAAGGAACTCTAAAATATGACCAATAACTTTAAACTAACTACTCGCATATACTATTCTCCGTGTTCACGTGATACCCAAAAGATAACGCCGTCATAGGGTAAACGAGTTCTTTCATGAAGCCTCATGCATGGAGTTAAGCTCACTGCAAATTACTTTGATGACATCGATGCAAGTAACCGGCGGCTTGTGACAGCGCTCTGAAGATATTAGCCGCAGCCATGGCTTCACCCTCGTCACAAGCAGTTGCGAAACGGTCGTCCGATACTCAGCTTATGCCGCCTCCTCCACCTGCCAAACGAATAAAACGACCGCCCGTAGCCCTGGACGAAGATGACTACACCGATGCCCTTTCCCATATTGTCGCCCGAGACTTCTTCCCTGGGCTGCTCGAAACCCAAGCTCAGCAAGATTACCTCGATGCCCTTGAGTCCAAGGATAAAGAATGGATTGCCACAGCAGGAAGGAAGATGGCGCAGTTAATGACGCCAGGTTCGCAGAGAAGATATGCCGGGACATCCATGACACCGCAGCGCGGAAGACCTCCTAGCGTGTCGAATATGGATACTCCCCACAGGACTCCTGCCATGGACAAGAATACGCCGAGAGGCTGGAAAGGAGATACCCCGATGTCGTGTGCGACTCCCGGTAGCATGGCCTCGGTTGCAACAAGCTCAGCCGGGCACGGGATCTCATCCAAGATTCGAAATATGGGACTAGGGGCCTTTCAACAAAAATATACCAGCGAAGATAATGAGTCTTTCAACAAACTACTAGATAAACAGAATGAAAAGAAGAGAGAGAAATACGCATGGCTATGGAGCGGGAATAAGATACCCTCTGCTAGAGAGCTAGTGCACAAAAAGCGGGAAGCTAAAAGACTGGAAGCGCAGGCCGCGCCAGACGGAAGCAAGGAGAAACAACTTATGAAATTATCAGACAACAAGTCTACGGCGGATGACCGACCAGCGAGACCAGATGGATGGAAATCGAAACCCGAGAACTCCCTGATGTTCATCCCTTCGTCGGTAGAAGACGACATGGAAACAGTTCAGCAGAAACAAGAGTCTACCTCTCGAATGGGGGAGAAACAAGTCCTCTATCACAACACCCGCCTCAGGCCGCATGTTGAAAATAGTGATGGGGAACAATACTCGACTGTTCCGCCTTCACCTTCCTTATCTGCAGTCCGTGACGCAATAGCTGGAAGGCCTCGACCAACCGACTCGGAACCGGGGTATACTGGCGGTGAAACTCCTCGTGTCAACGGATACGCGTTTGTTGACGAAGATGAACCTGACCCTCAGCCACACTCGGCGCCACAAGCTGACGAGACTGAAGAGGCATATCATCTCAAGCTCCTTGAGAGCCAGTTGTCTGACTCGACGCCAAACCCGTTCAAGCTCAAAGAAAGTGGCAAGCGAGAACTGCTGCTTCATCGTATGGTGGATCGTGTGGCGAAGAATAATAGAAGAGAGAAGGCGATCAAAGAGACGAAGACCCCTGTTCCAATGTTCCCAAGCAGCCCCATGATCGCTTTTGGTAAATCGGGCGATAGATCGTCGATTTCTAAAACTCCAGCGATGAGCCGAGCGGCCCTTACCCCTGCTGCCCAGAGGCTCTGGGCTCAGGTAGGTAATAGCACTCCGAAAAGAGCTGTGATGTCAAGTTCAACGAGTGGAAAGAATATGTGGACACCAACCCCTAGGAGAGCTAAGTAGTGATGGACTGGTTATCCCGTCCCAACAGCGAACCCCTTGTAAATATTACGATCACTCTATCTATAGATTCACGAGCTAGCGAACACGATAAATACTAAATCTTTCTATTACCTAACTTATTGAGTCATAGCCTTGGAGAATTATCATCCAACTGAACAAATGTATAACAGAACGCCTGACACCTTGCTTCCATATGACACCAAAGACTCAAAACCCATGCCTTCCCAGAAAGCTTTCCAAATATTCGCAAAGATCCTGGCCCTGACGCTGTGCCGAGAATCCTTTCTCTAACATGAATCTGTTAATTTTTTTTTTTTCTTCGGATGGTTGAGATAACTTGGATCTCGTGGGGTCGATGTGCAGTATATACTATATAGCCTTGTTGTCAGGAATAAGGTCATATAAATGGATGAACAAAGAAATGAAACTGGGTATTCCCTGTCCTGTGTATTGCAAATTTTTGAGCTCCGTATGTTTCTCTCATAACGAGGGTCATAACGTGGCAGTACTTGAACCGTCCCGTGCTTTTTCCTCGGTTATCAGCATTGACCTGCAGTTATCTTGCCAGATACGCCCTTAATCTATTTCACTGCATGATTTGAATATAGACCAGACGCCGGTTTTGAGGCCCAAGCGAATCAATTGTTTCATTTTTATAGGCGATGCTCAGTCACTTCGCTTGGAACTGTTTTGAGACGTGGGTGGCGATTAGTTACCCGATCACTTTCCGTTCTGATCGGTTGTTTCAGATCAGTTCCAATGTGAAAATCCCCAGACGAGTCCCCAAAACACAAGTGTAAAGGAAAAAATAAACTTCATTCCATCCACGGACTTCCATCCCGAATTCAAAAAATACGCGGCCCCGAGGTAGCTGCAGGTAATATCTCCGTTGGCACTTCGCTGCCCATAAGAATAGTTTAGCCACTGGCCTGTGGGACATCCGAATCCAAATGACGCAGGGCAGCTTCGAACTAATGAATGACATAGGTCCTGGCAAGGAAGGACTTCCTTATACGGCCCTGGTTTAATTTTGATGTCGATAAGTGGGTTTCGAGAAGAATTGGTTAAAACGTTCAAGCGGCCTGAGTAGTCATCTGGTAGCATGGTGCCATTGAGAAATTGTTGGCCAGTATTTCTCGGACGGAGGAATGGAAGGTCACTGGAAAAGTCTTGACATCTGGGTATAGTGACTGCGCAAAGCCATTGCTTATAGGCACCTGCGCACTGAGAGCAGTTCGTTGCAAGGGAATACTGCTCTGTTGCGGGAGCATTGCAGGATACCTGCTTAAGAGAATAGCTGAAATTTTGGTATAATTGCTCCGCTTGTGTGTCATATATCTCGCTAAGCTGAGAAACCTTGAGTTCCGGACTGGATGGGACTGCATAGGCAACTTCGGAGCAGAATTTTAGATTATATATTATAGCGCAATTGTTTTCTTATAAAATTCCATATTAGTCAGTATTGGCTTGGTAGATTAATGGGTATGATTTTAGCTTACCTCTTTTTGTTGTGAAATTCATTGCTTTCCACACTTTTCCTCCGCCCCCTACAACCTTGTTTCCATAAGCAGTTGAATTTCCTTCCATGGCTAAGAATCCATAGTAAACAGAGCTGCTATTGAGGCCCTTAGCATAAATCTGTTGCTTGGGCTTATGGTCTATACCACGAGCAGTCATGCCAACATCTAGGCTTTTCTGTTTCTTGCTTATCTGTGCATTATTCTGCAGACCGCAGTACGAGTGCTGAAGACCCAAAATAGCTGAATCGTTCATATTATGAGCAAATAACGTAAAAGGAGGTGGATCGAGGGCCAGCCACTTTTTATATATTTCCGACTCTGGTGGTTCACGTGTGGTATCATTTGTTTGTAAAAGAGCTGCATTGTTATCACCGTCCACAAAATAGAGGAAAGAACTGCTATTATCGAGACCATGGAACGGGGCGTCGATCGAGGCTGCGATTTCGTAATTATATATTCCAGAGTACCGGGTGCTATTTGGAGCGGCAACGGCGATGTATACATCTTCATCTGCATCGGGATTTACAGCAACGTAGCCTCCATCAAAGGGTTTATGGGTAACAGCAGAGTTGTCCTTGTACTGTGGACCAGGCCTATCGAACGTTTTGCTCGTAGACACATACATTTCCAGTTGAGGCGGTCCAGCGTCTTTGGCGGCACGGGTAACGTTGAGCTCTGGCTGAAGACAAGTATTTGCAGTGATATGTACGGAAACAGAACGACGAGATAATTTTGTGCCCCGGACGTCCAATTTGAATACATTATCCGAATCTTCCGAGTCCTTGGAGCCTCCAGAGTTGCTACCCGGATCTGTCGTGCCTCCATCCAGAATGACGCTTATATCTGACGGCAAGCCCGGTGTAGGTGGGGACTTGGGGCCATGCACCGCCTCCTTGGGGAATACCCAATACTGTACTTCCCCAATCTTTATATTCTTCAACTTAGCAACATTGTTTGCCAGGGCCTCTGTTCCTGGAGCCGCCCTCCGCTCAATATCTGCGCCATCCTCAGTGTCCAGTCTATTCTCTCCTTGTATAGAAACATGATCCCACTGTACGGAAATCTGCTCTTGGGTATCTGTAAATGTCAAATCCGGAGGGCCATGCCTTTCTATTATCAGAGCATCGACGTCTGTTGCGTAGGCGAGGTGTGGGTTGGAGAGAGCAAAGTAGAGTATTATAAGGAGGATGGTGGCAGCGAGGGAGGCGGCAAAGCGAGATTGGAGAGGAGTGAGCTTCGGCCAAGGCATCGGCGCGCCGGTATGAACGTATCGCTTGCTAAATGAATGGGGGGAGAGAGGGCCGGTGGTTCCTTTGAATGTAGTTGACCGTTTTATTGGCACCTATTACCGTGAAAATAAGGCGAAATTGACCATCGATGCTGCAGAATAATCCAGGCTCGTGCAAACGGATGAATAGTAGTGAAAGGGCAAGGTCTTCGCCTGACGGTTTTTCATTATATTATCGTCTCTCCGGTCGTTGTCCTTGTTCAAGATCGATGTAAACTGTCCAACGTCCTATTCCGTTAAGGCTTAAAGACGTTGCCAGCATACATAACTTCCAAGGAACTGCGGGATTATGTAATAACCCACCCCCGTGGAGCTAGAAAACCTTGTGATATCAAAAAAAGCCGACGAAAGAATCATAAGAGGGCCATGGATTATATACGGATTAATGGTAATATTACAACGATAAAGACTTTTAGGGTACCAGAAAGGATTAAACAAGATGCCAAATCTCCATGAGTTATCGAAAATCCAGAGTAAAACAATTACAACCAAATATCAACAAGAAACTGCAAGTATCAACAACAGAAGCGTAAGACAGAACTGGGCCAAAGCATTAGTAAAAATCATTATTGATGTTTTAGTTTCGCAGGCAAGCCCACTGTTACTGTATTGGCGTGCGTCCAGGCGGCCGTCAAGAAAAAAGAAGAGAAGGGCCGTAGAATCAACAACGGTGGGCGCTAAGCAGTGCATTTTCTTTACAGCAGCTTATATCGACGGGCAAAGGTCAAGCTCACAATGGAGATCAGAACAATGACCCCGACGATACCGAAGAACCAGTACAGGTCATCGCCGCCTTGGCCGGGAACATGCACGTTCATGCCGAAAAGACCACAGATCAAGTTCATTGGAACGAGGATACTGGCCAGGAAGGTAATCTTGCTAAGCACCTCATTAACCCTGTTGCCCACCATGATGTTTGTCACGTTGACCTGGGCAAGGTAGTTTCCGTGAGAACGACTGAGCATCTTCTCAAAGTGGCCCAAACTGGACATCATGGTAACAACGTGATCTTGAATATCGCCAAGGTAAAGTCCGATATCGCCGCGAGGTGTGACAGAGTATTGCTCGTTGCAACGCTTGGCGAATCCCTTTATAACGTCGGCTTTGCCACCTAGAAGGCGCATGAGACTCATGACTTTCTTGCGTAAACCGCCAATTTTTGGGAGGAACAGGTTGAAGTCTTCGATTCGGGCAACGTAGACATGGTCTTCAATGGCTTCAGATTCAACCTCGATTTCGCGAATGACAGGGCCAAAGCTATCAACAATATCGTCACTGTTGCGCAGCAGTTAGATAAAAAGCAGGTAATAAACAAAGAAGATCACCAGAAACTTACATCATGGCGTAGCAGATCCAATCACTGCTAAGAGAGACATATTCACGCAGTTTGCCGATGCGCTTTCTCACATTTGCCGCGTGCGGGTTATCAGTAAAGCTGAAAGAGATAACACCCTCCCGGAACACCACCATGTATAGATTGACAGGTTCTAGATAGTCTTCACTAGTTTTATCCACCTGGTAAAAAGTGCGGAAACAAACAAAGTAATATTGACGGAACAGTTCAACCTTTTCACGGGCTTCCTGAGTCATGATATCCTCTGCAGTCAGAGGATGGATAGAAAAAGCGCGAGAAATAGCGCCCATCTCATCACTGGTTGGATTGACAACATCAAGCCACCAGACACCTCCATCGGGGCCCAGCTGGAAGAGATCCCGGAAAGAGTCTCCCGGAAGTACAAGGTCTCCGATTGAGGCTGCATGGACGGTGCTTTCAAACTCAGAGGAAAAGAAGCTGAAGCGTTGTGGGCTATTGATATTCTTCATGGCCGCAAGACCAGTCTTTTCATCCTCGGGTTCGTCTGAGCCGGAATCCTTGGCACTATCCGCGGGTAGATGGACAGTAGTATTTGGCTTCTCCAGGTCACATGGAGTCATCACAATTTCAGGGACATCGACATTACTGTTTCCCTTTTGAATGCCCGTGAAGTTGAGAGTTTGCCTGCTCTGGGCGCTGATGCTATGCTTGCGCTGAACTCCATTCTGTGCTGATAGATTACCTGCTCTAGCCTTGCAAATAGCAACGAATTCCTCGAGCTCTTCATAATCGATTATTGGCGAGCGACCTGTATCCTCGAATGGTGGAGGAGGGAAGCATACATCTGCCTCCTCTGTTGGGTTGACGCGGACGTCCACGCTGCCAGGATGAACCACACTAGCATTGCTGAAAGCTGGTTTGTGGTGATGAGAAGTGGCAGATATGGTGCGATGAAGGTTGAGTTCACGCTCTCCAGGCATTTGGCTCTCCATTGTGTTTGCTCGTTCACGTCGACGAGGCTCGGCAAAGGCCTCAACCGAGTTTGGGGGAGAGGTCGAGACAGAGGTGTGCGAAGATGTCACTGAGGGCCTGCGGGCATCGTTAGGCCCCAGACGAGGTCCCATAGGGTTCACAGAAACCCTCCTAACCCCAAGTCTGCCTAGGTCTTCCTCCTCATCATCATCGATAACGGCATGCTCAAAGTCTCTGCATATTGGGGCCCTTTCTTGCATTGTGTTGCCGTTAACCGGTAGTAGAAGCTCTGGCCGGTCACGGCCCTCGACAGAGCCTCGTGCGGCTGGATTCTCCATGATGTCTGCTCTGGGAAGACTCTCGGCCTGGAACCGGTGGTCGTCCAACTCTGGGGCGGGCGTGGGGAACCTGGTCTCACCCTTGTCCGACTTTGGTGAATCACTCATTGTGTTCTTATCCCTTTTTTATCTTTGTTGTATTTGGCTCTTTTTTTTTTAGATCGATTTTTCTAGATTTCCTTCTCTTGTGTTCTTAAAAGCTGTCCAATTGTGAGAAGTACTGTAGGGTATGCGTAGTCTTCGTGGAGCGAACGCGCAGGGTAACGCTCACTCTGCAGTTTGGAACAACAATGTGAGTATTTTATGTATTTATTTTTCCTTTGATAAGCTCAAACCAAATGAAGAAACCCCCTTCTCTTCAGCGAGAAAACGGCCACTCTTGTTTAGTTGGATAGTCCGGTCCAGCCTAGCCCTCGAAAAAGGGCTGGCTGCGTGTGATCAACGTGTATTGCTTCGCGTATTGCCATATATTTGCGGGAGTCAAGTTATGGAGGTCGGATGTCTCCCCCGACAAAGACCCGGAACTTGGGGCCCAGGAGAGGGTGGAGGAAGGAGTTCTGAGTGTAGTTAAGCCCCGCCAACTTGCCGGAGTTTTCAGAATGGGAGCGTCGAGGCTCCAGAGTCGCTGGGTAGGAAGAGTACGGCGGGAAGAGACTGCGTCCGGCTGCTGGTCTTCCTGCACTTGTCACTCACTGTCTCGAGTAACAAGATAAGAGAAAAACAGTCAAAAAAAAAAGCACCCCTCGACGACGATCACTAGCTATCTGTCCGCGAGATCCGTGCTCTGAGCTGCACTGGCTAGCTGCGACAATGACAGACTTGATTTCGAAGCTGCGTTGGTGCTGAGACGGCGGTTGTTGGTCGTTGGTGGTGGGAGTTGAGGTTGCTGCTGCAAGGTCTGCACTGTGGCGGTCGGCAAAAAAGGACGAAAAGAAAAGGGAAAAAGCGAGAGAAAAAGAAGAAAAAATAAAAAAAAAAAAAAAAAAACAGAAGCAAAGCTGGCTTATCTAATGCCGAGAATATGCTGAGTCAGCAGGAATACCAGCAAAAAGTCAATACGCTAAGCCGAGAAAGGGATGGTGTGGCTTGGCATTGTTGACACTTTCCGCCACTAAAAAGCAAGATAAAAACCGCAGGTTGAAAAAGACGAAGAAAGACGAAGACGAAGAAGAAAGACGAAGAAGACAGGATGACTGGACGAAAGGACGCTCGCAGGACGGCTCGCGGAAGCCGGAGACGGCCAGATGGTCGCTGCCGGAAGGGAAATGCTCGGTCCGGGTGCTACGGGAGATGCAGGTGGATGTGGGAGCCCTGGCCGCGTCCTTGGCGCTGGTTGTCTAGTTATGATGTGGCTGATGATATAAAACTCCAGCCCCGGTGACCCAGCTTTCTTCTTCGTTTCGGATTTCCGTCTTCGTCCTTATATCTTTTATCGCCTGTGCTTAATCCGATTCGATAGCCGAGCCTCTTTGTGGTCCGTTTAGCCATTTTTTGATAGTCGCCGTGCTACCTCTTCGGTGACGAGCTGCATGTCAGCTGTACACAATGGAACGCCTGTGAGCCTGTACTCCCGTTGGTCACCGCCAAGTTGCTACCCAAGGCGTCCTCGCCAGGGCCGCTTTTGATCTCGGCTCTTCTCCGTTCTATTAGTTGTTTATTTTTTCGGCTTGTCAAAACATGGTCGTGGAACAACATCTTGAGCAACGACCAAAACCGAAGTTGTCATTCGTTTTTTTTGTTTTTGTTTTTTCTTTTATAGCTAACAAGAAAGTTCGAGCGGCGAGCTACGCTTACTACTAGATATTAGTTATTTAATTAGTAAATAATATCTAGTAGTAAATACTTAATTATATATAGAAATACTTATAATATTAAATAATTAAAAGCTTAAAATTTTATTTTATTAAACCTAATGATTATAAATATAAAATTAATACCTTATAGCGAGTAGTAGTAGAAGTATTTTATAGTTATTTAATTACTATAATAGAGTATTATATATTAATAATATAGACTTTAAGGGTATTAATATATAACTATATTATTAATAGTATAATATTTTATAAGTATAGATCTTTTATATTAGTATTAATTTAAGAAGTATTTTCTCTAAATACTTTTTTTCTTTTTCTTATATATAGATTTCTCTTATTTTAAAAAAGCTCTTTATTAGGTATCTAGTAATTAATATTAGATATCTAATAATTAAACCTTTTTTTAATATTTAATTTTTATTATAGATTTTATTTAGAGGTGAATAATTTTATTATTCTAAATATTTATTCTTAAATTATATTATTTAACTTATCTACTTAAACTTCTTTATAATATAACTT